GACTCGGAGAATGAAGCGATGGAATTTGAGGCTCATTCAAGTAGTGAAAATGATTGGGAGGAGGAAGATAGTGAAGAAAATGAGAAAATGGATGATAGCGATGAAGTCATGTCCTCATAAAGTTGTAAATTATTTACAATAGGATTTTATTGCATCGATGTAATTTTTTAAATATATGTTTAAAAACTGGTTGTTTTATTTTTTTCATTTTAAAGCTAGACCCTAGCGCTACAATTTTGCATTATGAAATTCTTGGATGTAGGTACAAAAATCATTTATGTGGAAAAATCAACAGGCTGTGAAATACCTACTAAATGAAAATGCCAGCAGCTTTTAACTCTTACTTTATTATTTATTTGTCAATAATGCAAACATTTTTAAATACCGAAACTATATTTTTTTTTTGACAAAGAAAACAATGATTTAATTTCACAAAGTTTTATTTTGGATAATAGCAATTTTTTAATGAGATCTGCGGTTGGAAACTTTTGTTAAAATTTTAATATCTAGTGATTTTTTGTAAATGAAAAAAACTGTTCAATTTGTTTAAAAAAAGTCGAAAAACCACCAACTTGCTTAAAAATAGTTCTGTTTGTTTTTTTTACAAGGTTTTACTAAACAATTTATTTTTTATTGAATACTTTTCCAGCTAGGAACACAATTATTTCGCAAAATTTCGTTAAAACAAATTCGACCAAAAATGGGTTATTTTTGCGCTTTAAGCACAACTAAGGAAATTCTAAATATTTCGTTGAAGCAGGCAAAAAAATTACAATATTAAATCGAAATTGAGCTTGTTTCGTTTGTTTTTGAACCAGAGGCTCATTTATTTTGCAAAATATTGTCTAAACACGTTTAAAAATTAAAAAAAAAAAATAGTTTTTGAGCAAAATTAGGACAAAAATAAACCGAGAATGTTTTAAGCACGTTTTTGTACTACAATTTCAGTTTTTTTTTGCGACATTTCGCTAAAACGAACGGAAAAATTAACATATTAAGTCAAAAATTACATTAATTTTGCATTTCTTGGGAGTTGTAACACGTTTTTCAGCCAGAAACACAATTACTTCGCCAAATTTTGTTAAAAACAAGCCAAAAAAACACAGAATTAGGCCGAAATGCTATAATTTTTGTCTTTTTCGAAACTCTTTTAATTTTTTCGCGATTCAAAAATCACTAAATTGTTATTTTTACCTAACTCTTAATTTGATTATTTCGTGAAATTGTCTCGAAGAAAAAATAATTGGAAACTACCAAATTGGTTTTTACAAGATATTACTAAACAGAGTCGAAAATGATAACTAATTTTTGTTTTTTTTCGAATGCTTTTTCAGCTAGAAACACTTATTTTGCAAAATTGTTTCAAAAACAAGTCACAAATTCAACAAAATTGCTCAAAAAACGTCGTTTTTTGTTTTTTTGAGAGATAAAAACACAAAAAGTTTGAAACTGCATTGCATTGAAACAGGTTAAAAAATTACAAAATTAAATCGAAATTTATATCATTTTTAAGCATTATTTTGCAAAATCTTGTCGTCTAAAAATCACAAAAAGGATTGATGTTGGTGTTATTTTGTTTCTCAAGACAAAAAATAAGCCGAGAAAACACAAAATTTGGCCGAAATGCTTTTAAACATGTTTTTGTAGTATATTTATCGCTAAAAAAACTTAATATTGAAGAAATTAAGTCTAAAATTACATTATTTTTGTATTTTTCGTGTGTTTTAACACATTTTTCAGTCGGAAACGCAATTACTTCGCCAAATTTTGTTTAAAACAAGACAAAAACACATAGTTAGGCCGAAAATGCTATAATTTTTTTTTAATCTGATGAAAATTTCGCAAATTTTTCAACGCGGATCTGGTGAATTTTATGTTTTTGATCTGGCAACACTGAGTGTAGAGTAAGTTGTTTCTTATAGGTAGCTCTAGACGACACACTATAAATATGCTCGTAAAATGTGGAATGTTATAAAACACAAAGTGAGCAAATATTCAGCTTTCAAAGTGTCACAAAAGGAGTGTTGATTTGATAGTAATTTTATTAAAAGTCACCATTTATACTGTTGCTTCACCATAGAATCAGGGATGGGATGAAATGAGTGAAATAAAATCGGGAAACTGTGTAAATATGTAAAAGTTGGAATTGTTCATGGAATTATTTCAGAGATTTAGGGATTAGACAGATAACAAAGCGTGAATATTGCAAGCGTCGAAATACAAAGTTGAGGATAAAGTTAGTAGAAATATTATGAGTTTAAATTGCTTCAACGCCATTGGGATGTGAAAAAAGTAATAAGTTTGTCAAGCAATATGTGCAAAAATAGTAGAAAGCAACAAAGGAATTAAAAAAGGAGTTATCTGATGAGCTTCACAATAAAAGTTATTTGTGATAAAACTTTTATTGCGTTTTGGATTTGTTTATTCTCATTTTTAAACGAAATGTTACCAAATCTGGTGAAAAAAACTGTTGTATACACTAATTTTTCAATTATTAATAAAGTAAATTACGTCAAAAATAAATTACACTATTTGTCTGCATCTTTTTCGAGCATTTTTAACCAGAAACTTGATAATTTTCTCAACAAAGTTTTACTAAACACGGTCGAAAATGACAATTTTTCAGTTAGAAACATAGTTATTTCGCAAAATTTCATTAAAAACAAGGGAAAAATTCAAGGCAATAGGCCAAAAATTGTGTTGTTTCGGCTTTTTCGAGATAAAAAAAAATTGTGTTG